TTATAGAGATTGATTTTGTAAAAAAACTATTTTTTGTAAATTTTCATTCATTTTTTTTATCCAAAATTATATTTTTTATATTTCATTTTATATTTAATTTATATTTAAATCTTTTTATTAGTAAGAATCAAGTTTTTCTTCAAAAGAAAGAATTATTTTTTATAATTTTTCTGAATAAAATTCCTAAAAATTAAATGAATTTTGGTTATATAATATTATGCTTTATAAATTATTAATATTTTTTTCTTAATCAATGCTTTTTGTATCTATAATTTATTTGAAAATTTCATTTATATGTGGTTTTGGTACTTTTAACTCTGCTTTTTAAGATTCTTAATGAATTAAATTTTATATGTTTTCAAATTTATTTAGATTTTCCTTATTTTTTTAATCTAAATTACAAAGAAATTAAAATAAGTTTTATATTTTTGTATTAAAGATTTAATTTTATTCATTCAAAAAATTCTAAATTTAAAAAGCTTAATCTTTTTCGTTATTTTAAGTTAATTTTTGTTCCAAATTTTTTATTTTTTGTTAATTAGTTTCGCCTTTACTTTATATTAATTAAATGTTTTGTAAATTTGAATTTATTTAATTTTAAATTTTTTTCATATTAATTAATTATTCTTTTTACATTTCCTGTTTTATTTTTTTATATATAATGCTATTTTTACCAGCTTAATCCCCGTTTTATGAATTAATTCTTATTATTCGACCGAAATTTGATTATTATTAACTCATGCAAGTTTAAAAAGAATCATTTAATTAAATTTATTATTGACTTATGGGAATTTAATCTATAAAAATTGGATTTCGTGTCTTTTTTTAAATTATTTAGTCAAACATTGAGTTTTATGATGAGTTTACTATTTATAATGGAGGATATTAATATATTATTGAACTTTAATATGAATATTATTATAAAGAATTCATTTTTTTTATTTTATTTTAAAAACTTTTGACTTTATTTTTTTTTAATATTTATTTATTTTTAAAAATGATACTTTATTATAATATAATACATGTAATATATATTATTATATTAAATTTATTTATATTTTATGAAATCTAAAAAAAAAATATTAAAAGTATAATATATAAGCTTTTAATTTCATATTTATCATTTTCTTTCATCATTTAGAAACATTTTTTTTAAAAAAAATATAATATATTATATAGTAAAAATATTGAATTATTAGCTCTTGTCAATATTTTAATTTTTAAATATAATATAATTATTAATTTTAAAATTTTAAATCAATATTTATTCTTTAAAATATATTATTTTTCAAAAAATAAACCTTTCGAAGAATGTCTAAGAATAAAATTCCATCAATATAAGAGTAAAATCAATTAAAATTAAAAATTCATTTAAATATTTTCTTTTATTATAAAAAAAATAAAAAATAAAGAAATTAGCATAAAAATGATTAAGAATCAAAGCAAAAATTTATTGAAGTAAATTTGAAATTAAAAAGCGAATTAAAATATGTAGCTTCCTAACTAGAAAATATTATTTTAAAAGAAAACTAAAAAAAAATATAAAAATAACAAATAAATACAGAAAGACATAATTCAGAAGTTAAAAGTAAATTTCAATATTTCATTATAATTTAACGCTGAAAAAATAAAAAAAGATAATTTTAAGAAAATTTAATTATAAAAGTTAAAATTAAAATAAGAAATCGAAAAGATCAAATAACTTCTCGAAATAACTCATAACGATGGAAGGTTTTATATTTTTAATTTATTTAAATAAAAGACTATTAAATTAAAATAAAGTGTAGTTTAAAAAGAAAATGAATTAAAAGATGTCAAAAGACAATTAAAAGAACTTTTGGATGAATAGAATTCCCTTTAATAAGTTAAAGAATGTCAATTATAAGCGATTTCTAATTAACCTGACATACAAAAACATTTATAAAATGTATATATATATTAATAATTTTATGTATTAAATATTTTATTAAAAGCTTAATATTTTAAGGTAAAAACTTAGTGAAATAAAAGAAACTGGAAAAATTTTAAATGAATAAATATAAGCATCTTAAAAATAACTTATTAAAATACATGAACAAATGATTATAAAAGAAGAAAAAATAAAATTTATAAATGAAAGAATTTAACAATAAAAAAAAAATAATAATTAATAAAATTCAATTGAAGTCTTATTTTTATTTAAAAAAAATGTTTTATATATTCTTTTTTTAGTTGGATAAAGATGATATTGATTAATAAATAGAAAAATATGAATAAGAAAAAAAAAAAGTTGAAAAAGAAATAGCAGATAATTTAAAAGAAATAGAAAAGTAAAAAAAAGATCTATAAAAGGTTCTTTAATAAAAAACTTAGATTTTATAAACTAAAGAAAAAGAATACAAAATTTAATAAATAAAATAAAAAGAGATAAGCAAATTGTTAAATTAAAATTAAAATAAAGAAGGTATATATAACACTTATTTATTATAATACTATATTTTTATTAAAATATATAGATTAAAAGTAAATAATTGTTAGTGAAAATAATCTAAATAATTTTAATAACTTATAAAAAATAGATAATTAGGTTAATTAAAAATATATAAAAATATATATAAAATTAAATAAAAAGTAAATTAAAAAACCTCCTTTGCTAGTGAAAAAGAAATAAAGCGAAAATAAATAAGAAAATTATAAGCAAAACATTTAGAATGAAGATGAAAAAAAACTTAATTTGAGTTATGAATTGAATGAATAAGCATAAAATAATTTTATTTTTTAAATAAATAATAAGCCTAATTCTGAAAACAAAATTTAAAATTAAGAATTTAATAATAATCTAAAAAAAATCGATAATGATTAATAAAATACAAATAAATCTAATGAAACAAATAATGAATAAATCTAAAATGTGTTCAAAAAGCCACTATTTTTAATAAAAAAATAAAATTGAAAAAATAATAGAAAAAAAAAATTTGTTTTAAAGATAAATTTTAATTAAAAAAACAAAAAATTAATATATTATATTTATATTAATAAATTATTAAATAATAGTACTTTAATAATATATAATTATAAATTTTTTTTTAAAAAAAAATGAAATATATTGTTTAACTTTTTTAAAAAAATAAATAAATATCTATTATATTTATATTTTTCTTACATTAAAAAAATATTTTTATATAAGTTTATAACAAATATTTAACTAAAGATTTTGAATAAGTATTTTTATATTTGCTATAAAAATATTTTTATTCTTAATATTATTTTAATTCATCTTGATATTTTCTTTTAATATATTATTTATTATACATCTAAAAAATTAAATAAATGATAATATACATTATAAAATCAAAAAATAATTGTTTATTTATATTTATTTTTAGTCTTATATTTATTTATTTTATTATGAATGTTTATAAAAAACTTAATATATCAATTGTTTATTAATTGAAAATAATTACAAAAAATGAAATAAGGAAAATAAAAGTACTTTTTTTATAATAATATTTTTCAATTTCAAATTAAAAGAAATATATATATTTTTTTTAATTATTAAAAAAAATCTTAAGAGAATTTTTATTAAAATAAAATTTAATTATAAATTAACTTTTTAAATTTTATTATATTAAATTTTAATATTAAATATTTATTATATTTTTCATATTAATTTTCTTTATATTTAATTATAAAGAAAAAAAATTAAATATTCTTAATTTATTGAATCAAATTAAATAAAATTAAATTTTATTAAGAAAATTGTAATGTATTTTCTTAAATATTTTTTTTTCTCTATGTTTAATGATGATGATATCAAATAAAATAAAATAAAAAAAGTTGATACTTAAAAATAATTTGTTATACATAAAATATTATTTAGTAAATATTTTTAAATAAAAAATTATTAATTTAAATATGTGAACGTTATTTAAAATTAATGAACACTTTTTTTTAAAAAAAAATAAAAGCACAAATTGGAATTAACATATATTCATATTTACTATATACATAAAATAAAATTATAATAATAAAAATAAAAAAAAATTAAAAAATAAAAAATTAAAAAACACAAAATACATTTATAAATTAAAAAAAACAATAAAACACTAAAAAAAAAAAAACACTAAAAAATAAATAAAAAAAAATGAATCAACATTATTTCGTCAATTAAACTAATACTTCTTAAGAGGACTCAATCGATTCTATTAAATAAATTACTTCTCAAACAGTTCCTTTATAAAATGCTTTAACTTAAAACTACAACATATAAAACTAGCTAAAAAAATAATAATCAATGATTCCAAACAATAGTACTGTTTAAATTTCAGAAATCTAAAAATAAAACAATATTATGTCTTCTAATATGGTTGCGTAATAATTATTAAATGATATTAGAAATTTAGCTTTAAAAAACTAGGCAAGAGAATAAAACCTTAAAGAGTTATAATTAAAAATATAACTCTAATAGAATAAAAAAAATAAAGAAAACAAAGAAAATAATAATCAATAATAAGAGAATTACCTTTCTTGTAGTCTTACCAACTTAAATGAAAAAACTAACAATTTTAATAAATATCAAGAATAATTAAATTAGATTTTAAATCTTAATAATAAATTCGCTAAATAATGCAAAATAACTTAGAAACCTAAATAATAATAAATATAAGAATAAAAACCTTAAGTATAACAAGTAAAAGAATAATAATAAATATAATAAAAATCTATAAAAAATAATAATAATAAGAAATTTAATAATAAGAATAATAAGAATAAAATTAACAATAATAAGAATAAGAAAAAGAATTTAGAGAAGAAAATATATCTTTTCATTTATCTCGCTTAGTAATTTCAGAATATTCATAAGAAATAATATAATACATAAAGTAGAATGAGGTAAAAAATAAAAATAAAATAAATAAAAAATTTATAATTAAAAAAAAAAAGAATAAAATGGTTCCTAAAAACTCTCTTTTAAAACATAACATAAGTACATCTCTCAGGTCAAAAATGGTAGACTGGATGATTGAAGTAATGAAGTCCTATAAATGTTCAGAAGAAGCATATTTTATGGCAGTAAGATTAATGGATATGTTTTTAGAAAAAACCAAAACCGTAAAAGAAAATAATGACTTACATCTAACCGGAGTCACTTGCATGTTTATTGCTTGTAAATATGAAGAAATATATCCTATTAGAATTAAAATTTTATAAGAAAGAATAGCTCATAGTAAATTAACTGAAGAATAAATTAGAAATACTGAAGCTGAAATTCTAGAAACACTCAATTTTAATTTATTGGGTACTTCTCCATACCGAAATATGTATGTAAGCTTTGAACTATTTCGGATATTAAGATAAAATGCCTAATTAAGAATTCTAATATGCCCATAAAGTTTGTATTTATTTATCTAAAATGATACTCTATGACTATGAATTTATTAAATTAATACCTTATTCTTTGTTGGCTGCTTCTGTTCTTTATATTGTATTTAAAATCGTCTAAGAAATTAATAATAATTTCTAAGCTGAATAAAATGTAATTTTTAAAAATTAAAAAAATTAATATTTATATTAATATTATTTTAAAGATAAAATAAATTATAAATCTTCTAAAAATTGAATGTAAAGATTTAGTTAATGTTAGTACCAGAATACTAAATTTAGCAAAGAATTTTGAATAGTTCTATCCTGAATATACTAACCTTAAGAAATTTAATGGATTTTAATATAAATAAAATGATAAGGTTTAAGAAAAAGATTAAAAAAACTGATGTGTTTTATTAATTAAAAAAAAATATCATTGTACATTAAGAGTTTATATCTAAAAATATATTTTGTGTTTCATATTTGTATATTCAATTATTATAAGTTTTTCAATTTAATTAAAAAATATATAAATTATAATATTGTATATATTTTCTAAAATAAAATTATTATTAATTAAATTATAAATTTTTGTATTTATTGATTATTATTAAATTTATATGAATTTAGTTTTTTTTAAAAAAAATTAAGTTTCTGTATATAAATTTTAAAAATTTTGCTTTTATAAAACTAATAATTTTAAAGCTAAGATTTCAGTATTAATTAATTACTTATGTATTATTTATAAATTTAATTAAAATTGAATATCAATTATATTTAAAATTAAAAATTAAATTTATTATACAAGAAAACATTTACAATAAAATTATCAATAAATAGTTTCATTTTATAAATTAATTTCTATTAATTATAAAATATTTTATTTTGTTTGAATTTCTCCTTTAATATATTTTGTATTTTTTTTAAATAATTTATATATTAATTTTACAAATTCTTTTTTTGAAATATGTCAATTAAAAAGCAAAAGTATATACAAAAATATATATAAAATTCCCAAAAAATATATTTATATATAAAAAATAATAAAAGATAAATATAAGGAACCCCAATATAACCCGAAAATTTTTTTACAATAGATAGCAAGAAAGAAGATTAATGTAATAAAGTATAGATATAAAAAATAATAATTAAAAAAGGTTATCCAATATAATTAAAATTTCAAAGCCCGCTAAAGAATGTAATAAATAAACCCAAAAAATCGAATTCTTAAACTGAAATTCATGAAAAGAAAAATAATGAAAACAAGAATCCATAAAAAAATTAAAATCCTAATAATAACTAAAAATCTAAATAAAATATTCATTAAATAAAAAATTCAAATAGAGAAATTTTGGGTTTAAATTTAAGAACTCCAGAGTAAAAAGGACAAACTTCAAACGAAAAAATTCATTAAACATAAATTTAGAATTAAAAACAAACATATTACTAACCAACAACCAAAAAAAGTATTTAAAAAAAATTAGTTAAATATTATTTAAATCTATAAAAGAAAATCCTCCTTAAGAATAAGAAAGCGAAAAAAAAGAAGAAGTTCTTTCAAGCGATACAGATTCTCATGCATGTGAAAATTGCTATTATGATGAAATTATTTTAAATATGAAAAACGAATACTAAGATGAAAGCTTTGATAGTGAAAGTTCAACTTGGGATTCTGAATGCGGAAGATTATATGCTCAAGTTATTCATAAAGAAGTTTTTGACATGAAAAAATATCATAAAATGTTCAAAACTAAATAATACAATTAAATTTTAGAAGAAGAAGAACTTTAAAAAAAACTTTAAGAAGAACAAGAGAGGCAAATTTAATTAATAAATTAATTAGAAGAATAAAAAAAACATAAGAATAGATACAAAAAATCTATAAATATTGAAAATAAATAAAATACTCAAAATTTATAAAATAATTTAAATTAAAAAAATTAAAAATAATATAATAATGAAATTCCGAAAAAAACAAAAGAAGTTATCTTCGAAATCTAGAAATAAAGGCCAAAAAGTGCGAAAAATGAAAGGACAGAAAGTAATGTTTAAAAAGAAAAAGATGAAAAAATTATTAAATGTATATAAAATTAAATGCCTTAAATGAAAAATCCTCCTTAAATGTAAAAACCTGTAAAAAATAAAGAGTTGAGTTAAAAAATTATTGATGAAATGGTTATTTAAAATAATTTAATTTATAAAAGTAAAAAATTTTATTAAAATATTATTTTATATATATAATAATTATTTTAAAAAAAAGTGTAAAAGTAAATTGAAGAAGGTAGCAAAAAAGAAAAATAAGAATAAGAAAAATTACGAAAAGAAAACATTAAATAACGTTTTGAGTATTTGAAACTTTTACATAGAAAAAAATATCTAAAAAGATGAAAGTAAGAACAAAAATGTTCATTAATATAATTGGGGTGTAGATTAGTAACGTTTGAATGAAAAAAGCTTGAAAAATTTTAGCTAATCTGCACATAAATCTAAAAGGAAAGATCGTTTTTGCTATTTGAATAATTTCTTTGGAGAAAATGAAGAGAAAGTGGAAGGAATATTGCGTAAAAGGAAGAATGAATTTAAAGAAATAATAAAATAAAAAAGAAAAATATAATATAGTTTTTAAAAAAAAATGAAAAGGAAAAATAAAAATTATGGAAAATATCAACTGGTGTGCATGATTTTTAAGAACAAAAATAGAATTCTGAAAAAAAATATTTTGAAAAAAAAAAAAACTTTCCGAAAAGAACAATCATTCGAATTCTTAAATGCAAAATATACTGAGAGAAGAAAAAATATTATAAAGAGAAAAAGAGGCAAAAAAAAGGGAATTATAAAAAAAAAAAAAAAAAAAATAAGAAAAAGAAGCTTTGAAAATAAGCCTCCTTATTTTGAAAGAAAAATAGATAGAACAATTAAAAAAATCAAAAAAATTAAATTTTTAAAATTAAAAGGAAATGAATTTTGATTTTTCATCGAATAATAATAGTAATGAAAATAATTAATCTTAAATAGAAAAATAGGTTTATAAAAGAATTTATTTAACTTTGTTTAAGTAGTTGATTAGAAAGCTTGTCTAAAAAAAAAGATAAAAGTAAGAATAAGAGTATATATAAAGAAAAAATTAATTATAGGAAAATAAAAATTAAAAATAAATAAAAAACGGAGAAATTAATCAATAATAATACGAAGTATTGAAAAAAAAGAATGAACAAAAATAAAAATAAGTCCAAAATATTGTCAATAAAATGGATATTAAATCCATCTAATGTAAAGAGATTTCTTTAGATGATAATGATAAGAAAATTTTACAAATGAAATAAAATAAAGAACTTCTTTAATAATAATTACCTGAAGAATTCATTGAAAAAATATTTTAAACAGCAGAATTGGAAGATTTGCCAAAAACAATAATAAAAGAAATGCATTAAGATGAACCTTATTATAACCCAGAAAAAAAAAGAAGCGAATAATATAAAAAAACAGAAAGAGAAATTCTAAATTAAATTTACAAAAATAATGAAAAACCTGTCAAAACATATTTTTTGGAAAGTAAACATGGAAATTCAATCGAAAAAAATAAAAAAAAATAAAAAGATACTAAATGGAAAGAAATTAAAGAAATACAATAATAAGTTCCGAAGCCAAATAAAAAAAAGAGCCCTTAATAAAAGCCTCCTTTAGAAATAAAAGAAAAAAATTAAAAAAATTAGAAATTAAAATAATAATACCTTAATGAATATTCTAAAATTTAATTTGAATAAGAATAGTCTTAGGAAAAAGATAAAAAAGATATTTAGAAATACATTTTTAGTAATTAAATTGATGATGATATTTATAAGGCTTCAAAAAAAAAATAGTTTTATAAAAGTAATTCTAATAGCGACTCTGATGATCTTTATGCTGAAAATGTAGATGAGTATATGGAAAAATAAATGCTTTAATAACCTAATTGTATGAAAAACATTTCTCATTCCAATTTTGCAGCTATTATATCTAAGTTTATTTTACTATTATTAAATAAATATATATATTTTATATATAAAATAAAAATTATATTTATCAATAAAAAATATATATATATTTAGATAATAAGAATAATAATATTCCAGATTAGGAGATGAATCGAACAAATAATGAAAATAAAGATTTATCAAAAAAAAAATATAATTTTTATATTTATTTATTAAAAAAATATATTTTAAAAAAATATTATTATAAAAAATAATTAAATTAAAAAATACAATATATTATATAAATGAAATAAAATCAAAATATTTGAAAAATTTATAAATTAATCCAGAAATAATAAATTATTTTTTCAATAGTTAGGATTTGAAATAGTATATTATATATTTTAAGACATATATTTAACATAAATAGATTCATTAAATAAAGCAGCAATTTTAATAATTCTTTATGATGATACATCTGGTGAATTTAATAGAAAAAAATAAATAAAATAAAGAAAATGGGTAAATCATATATCCTATGTTATTTTATTTGAAATTACTTACTATGTTTGCTTGCGGGCAAATCTCTGTATTAAATTTGATTATAGAGGTTTCTAAAGAACTACCTTTTTTGCCTGCTTTTTTAAAATTCTGTTTTGTAAAATTTCATTAAATAACTTTACATCAGAAAGAAAGAGGAAAAGCAACCAAAAAAAAAACCATAAAAACGAAAACAACTTAGAATCTAAATGAAAGCATAATATAATATGTATTGTACTAAAATATGGATATTTTATTTAAATAAAATAGACAAATATAGAGCTATTTCAATTAATTGTGGAAAATATTCAGATTAATGTCTTCTAATGGAAAAATTGTTTAATTATTTAAATCTTACATTTAAGAAGTAAAAATCAGGTTTCTTAAAATTTAATTTTATAAAGTAGTTGAATTATAATGAATTTTACAGATTTAGAAAAAAAGTTGTATTAAAATAAATTATTTTAAAAATATATAAATATATTTATTTTATATTAAAAAAAGTAAAAATTTAATAATTTAAATTATATATTAATATATCTGTTGTTAATTTCTTAAATCTTTAATGTGTATTATTAGCCGAATTTCAAATTGAATTTATATTGATGTTTGATAAATAATATTTAAATCTTATTTTTAAACATTCTATTGAATTTGATTTCAATCATCTTCATATACTAAAAGTTTTAAATACGCCCGAAAGTCATAAATAATTATTGTTTATGGGAGATCTTGCAGATTTTTATATTTTTTTACATAATATATGTTCTCGTATTTTAAAATTTTTATACAGAACCTGCATAATGACAAAAAACCAATTATTACAAAATATATAATTTTCATAATAATAAATAAAGATTTTTTATTAAAATTTTTATTTATTTATAATTTATTAATTATATTTTAAATTTTATAAAGTATTTGAAACAAAAATAAATAAAACTAAAGGTATATTTTATTGTAATAATAAAAATTATATTAGATAATAAAGAAATATAAATTTATAAAATATATAGATATATATTTTTATATATATAAATATTAAAATAATTAAATATATATTAATAAATATAAATATATATATCAAAAATTTAGATATTTAATAATTAATTATATTAATATAATAAATTATAATATTTTTAATTATATAATATTTTTATATTAATTACCCGTTATTTATTATTTTGTTAAAAACATTATTTATAAATTTCATATTATAAAATATAATTTAATTCCATATTTTTTAATTATTTGCTTATCATATTGAAAATAATAGGAAACTAAAATTTTTTATTTATTAAATAAATAAAATTATATATAAATAATTAAATTAAAAGATAAAAATTGCAAATATGATAAAAAACTTAATAAAAAAAAGCTTAAACGATTCATATGTATACGAATACATTAAATTATAATAAAATAATCTTGATTGCATTCTCATTAAAGATCCATAAGCAGATAAAAGTACATGTTCACTAACCGTAAATGTCGGTAGCTTAGAAGACCCTCAGCATTTATAAGGACTAGCTCATTTTTGTGAACATATGTTATTTTTAGGAACATAAAAATATCCACAAGAAAGTGAATATAAATCATATTTAAGCAAAAGAGCAGGAAAATAAAATGCATCAACAGGCCTTTTATAAACTACTTATTATTTTTCAGTTTCAAACGAAGGCTTAGAAGGGGCTTTAGATCGTTTTTCATAATTCTTTAAATCTCCTTTGTTTACTGAAAGTTGTACTTAGAGGGAATTATAGGCAATAAATAACGAAAATAAAAAGAATTTTTTAATAGACGCAAGAAGATAATTTTAAATAATTCGAAATATGAGTAAATAGGATAATGCTTTTGGAAAGTTTTCAACGGGAAATACTGAAACTCTTTTAAAAAATGATTTGAGAGAAAATTTGATTTTGTTTTATGAAAAATACTATTCTGCTAATCTTATGAAATTGGCAATATATTCTAAAAATGAGAATTTGGAAAAATACCTGGATTTTTTCAAAGAAATAAATAACAAAAATTAACCAAATCCAATATATAAAGAATTTCCTTTTGAAAAAAAAACACTGTCTAAGTATATTAAATACATACCAGTTTAAAAAGATCATAGGATTAATTTTAAGTGGTACCTAAATTTTGATCAAGAAGATTATAAAAATAAAAATTTTGATTTTTTATAACATTTATGGGGACATGAAGGGCCTAATTCTTTACTTTCTTTACTCATAAAGGAAGATTTAGCTTTCGAATTATTTTCTGGAAGTTCAGTTTATATGAAAAATTTTGTAGAATTTAATGTAAATATAACATTAAGTGAATAAGGTTAGAAGAATATTACAAAAGTGGTTTAATATGTGTTTTATTTCTGTTAATTTTTAAAAGAAATAAAAGAGGAATAATTTTAAAGGATTTGGAAGGAAATTAAATTAATGAAAAATATTTTGTTTGATTTTAAAGAAAAAAGTGATCCTTTAAATTTAGTGGTTAATTTAAGTAAAATTATGCATGATTTGCCTATAGAAAATGTACTTTAGTATCCTTATTTAATGGAGACTTTTTCTTTTGAAAAAATATAAGAAATTGTTTAAAATTTTACTTTAGAAAATTTGCTTATTGTTCATTCTTCACCTTTGTTTTCTTAAGAAGAATGTAATTTAATAGAAAATCATTATCAAACAAATTATTCTATTTAAAATTTTTCATAAGAAATTGAATAGATTTACCAAAATCCTTTAAATTGTACAAATATAGGTCTTCCTCCTAAAAATATATTTATTCCGGAAAATTTCGAAGTCATAAAAGAAGAAAGCGTGGGTAATTTTCCAAAAATAATTTATGAAAAGGAAAATATGAGAGCGTATTTTAAAGGCGATGATGGCATATTTAAAACTCCAAAAGGGGTTTTTCAACTGAATATATATTATAAAATTTAAAACAGTTTTTTATTTACTAAAGAAGAAAGAATACTTTTTAATTATATTTATTATTCTCTTTTTAAAAATTTCATTAGAGAAATTTAATATATGGCATAATTGGCTAATTTAGTGGATTCATATTTGTTCTAAAGAAGGAAAATAACGTTAAATTGTCAAGGATTTTCCGATAAATTATTAGATTATTCATATGAAATAGTTTAAAAATTAATTTCATTTAATAGTTAGAATAATTAAGAATTTTTCGAATTTTCTAATTTTGAGAGGTTTTTGTAAAAAAAACTTTTACTTTTGCAAAACTTTTATATATAATCTCCTCATAATTTCGAAGACCATTTTTGTAATAATCTTTTAGATAATAATACTGAAGAAAAAATAAAATTATTTATTTAATTTAAGATAATTCTCCTTAAAAATTATATGAAAAATTCCTTGTTTATATAAATAATTTATTATTTAAAAGTTTTCTTGAATTATCCTTTATTGGCAATTTTTAATAAAAAAAGCTATAGATTTTTCTGAAAAAATACATAATTTATTTAAAGAAAAGTCGTAATAATTAAAAGAAAACAATATTAATTTCTCTAGAACATTAAACCTTCCACAAAATTAGATTTTTATTTAAAATATTAATTTAGAATAAAATTAAAAAACTCACTTATTGTTCAAATTTACCAAAATTAAAATCCTAAATATCAAAACAGGATATTTTTTGATAAGTAATAATAAATAAGAACTATAAATTTGTTTTCTTTATTATTAAATATCTTAAAATAGCCTGCTTTTGCAAAACTAAGAACTTAAGAGCAATTAGGCTATATAGTTTCTGTAAGAGTTTTTTCTTTAAATAAAATTCATCATATTAAATTTCTTGTTTAGTCAAGCTAAAAAAGTCCTGAATATTTAAGGAGTAGGGTTTAAGCATTTCTTGAATAAATGAAAGAATATATTTAGGATAATTTTACAGAAGAAGAGTTTGAAAAACAGAAATAAAGCATAAAAGTAAGTCTTTAAGAAAAACCATTAAATATATATTAGTTAGCTTATTAATTTAATGATGCTATTGATGATAGAGATAAATTTTTTGATTTAAAAGGAGATTTGCTTAGAGATTTAAATAATATTAATATTTAAGATATTGTTGAATGCTTTTTTAATGTTTTTTTCAATTAAAAAAAATAAGCAGAAATTCATTTTATTGCACCTGCACATGAAATTGAAGAAATTGAATTAATGTCAGAAAGAAAAATTAAAGAAAAAATCTAAATTTTATTAGTAGTAATGTTTCTAAAGCTGAGTTTGAGCTTTATCCTTCAATGAAAATATTTTGAGAATTTTTTTTTTAGTATATTTTATAATAAAAAATATATATATATAAAAATAAAATTACAAAATTATTTAAATAGAAATAATTAATTATTAATATAAAATATATTTTATAATTTATATAAATAATTAATTATAAAAATATGTTATGTAAATTTTTTTTCATATAATTTTAAAAATTATAATGTTTATAATTGCAAATTATAATTTAAATTATTACATATTTAATTTAATATTATAGATTTTAAATAAAATTATATATAATATAAAATTGCTTAGAATTTTTAAAAAATACTTAAATTTATTATAAAACATAATGAGATTAATAGAATTTTAAATACTTTTAAAGAAATAAATTATTATAATTATTATTTATAAAATATTATAAAATATAAGAAAAAATTAATTTTTTAAATAATTAATAAAAAGAAAATAATAATAAAATATAATTTAAGGCTTTAAATATTATATAAATAAAAAATATAAAAATATAAAAAAATAAATTATATAAAAAAAATAATAAAATTTATAAAAAAAATATATATATTAAGGCTATCTATTAGAATATGATAATATATAAATAATTAATTATATTTATTATTAAAATCTTGTACAAATAAATTAAAAATATAAATAATTTTAATAAATTTTTAAAATATTTAATAAAAAATTTACTTAAATTTTTGTAAATTTATTTAAAAAAATTAAATAAAATAATTAAAATAAATAAAATAAAAATATTTATAAATAAGATTAATTAACTAAATTTTTAAAGAAATTCTTTATAAATAATATTATAAAATGATAAATATAATTATATATAAAATACATTATATATAATTATGAAATAATAATAATAATAATAATAATAATAATAATAATAATAATATTTTTTATTATTATTTCTAAATAATTACAATTTTACCTAAAATAATGTATTTAAGTATTAAAAATTCTAAAATTTTTTTTAGATTTATTTTGTTATTTTTTTTAATTTAAATAAGTAATCATAACAATTTTTTATTTTTTTCAAATTATTAGTATAATACTTTAATATTATATTAATTTTATTTAATAATATATTTTTTATATAGATTAAATATTATGTATTATTTTTTTAAGCTTTTAAAAAAAATGATTTAATATAATTAATTAAAATTTAATTAGTAATAAAAATAAATATTATTAATAAACTTTTTAACATTAAATTAATTTTGAAAAAATTATAAATATTATTTAAAAAAACATTAATAATTTCAAGTCTTATTAATATATGTTTGAAAATATAATAATTATTAATAAATTTAAAAAATAATCTAATAAAAGTTTTTTTTTATTTATTTATTCTTATCTTTTTTTATTTTTCTAAAAGATATTTTTAAATATTATATCAAAAAAAATTAAGTGATATAAAAATTTTTATAAAAAAGAAATAAATAAAACAATGTATATAAAAAATATATATATTTAAAATTACTATTATAAAATATTTAAGAAAAATATAAATAATTATTAAAATTTTTTTTCTTATTATATAAAAAATAAGTATTTTATAAAAATAGGTTATGATACATTAAAAAAAATATGGGATTAGGGTAAAATTTCTGGAATATTTTTTTTTGAAATAAATTAATTTGTATCGCGTAAATAACATGCAAAAATGTTATTAATATTTCAATGCCCAAAATATAAAATATTTTTTTTTTAATTAATTTGTTTATATTTTTAAGGAAAATAAAAAAATATTTATGAAAAACATATTAAATATATAATTGTTTTATGTTTAGAAATAAATATATTTAAAGCTTTTAAATATATATAAATATATTTATATTAAAAAAAAAATTATTTGTTATTATGTAAATTTGATGTTTAATAAACATATTTATAAAATTATATTTAATTTAATAAATTTATTTGTATATGTAATTATATATATAAATATGTTTAGATAGGTAAATGTGTATGAAATTGGGGTTTAGTGTTTGGGGTTTGGGGGTTTGGGGTTGGGGTTGGGGTTGGGGTTGGGGTTGGGTTGGGGTTGGGTTGGGT